AAGGAGCTAAAGGTGATGTGCATGGTTCTCCCCTTCCTCATTTAATGCACCACAACAGCCCTGAGAGGCATGTTAGGCTGAGAGAAGGCAGCGACTGGACCCTGGTCACCCTGTGAGCTCCATGGCTGAGTGCAGATTTGAACACCCCATCTTCCAGGTCCTAGTCCAACACTCTAACCCAGGCATCCCCAAACTCGGCCCTCCAGCTGTTTTGGGACTACAGGTGAAACTCGGAAAATTAGAATATTGTGGAAAAGTTCATTTATTTCAATAATTCAACTTAAAAGGTGAAACTAATATATGAGATAGACTCATGACATGCAAAGTGAGATATGTCAAGCCTTTATCTGTTATAATTGTGATATTATAGCGTACAGCTGATGAAAAGCCCAAATTCACAATCTCAGAAAATTAGAATATTAAATGAAATCAGCAAAATAAGGACTGCAAACAGAGCAATATTGGAGCTCTGAGAAGTAGAACCATGCATACGTACTCAGTACTTGGTTTGGGCCCCTTTTGCATCAATTACTGCCTCAATGCGGCGTGGCGTGGCTCCTCAAATCTCTTTTCTGATGAGAGCAGCTTTTGCATCTCATTTGGAAACCAAGGACCCAGAGTCTGGAGGAAGAATGGGGAGGCACACAATGCCAGATGCTTGAAGTCCAGTGTGAAGTTTCCACAGTCTGTGTTGATTTGGGGAGCCATGTCATCACAATATTCTAATTTTCCGAGTTTCACCTGTACAATTCCCATCATCCCTGACCACAGGTCTTGGCAGCTAGGAATGATGGGGGTTGTAGTCCTGAAACAGCTGGAGGGCTGAGTTTGGGGTGCCTCCTCTAACCATTAGGCCACACTGGCTCTCAGTGGGCAGTTCTGATATTCCTGGGGTGATTGGGGTTGGGCAGTTTTCAGGTACTGTAAGCAGTAGGGTCCCAAGGCAAGTAAGGCAGGGGCCCCCCATCTCTTTGACTCTTGGGCATGCATGCCCAGCCCCTTCTACTCTCTCCGTGGGGTGGGACTCAAGTGGTTGACATCAGCCCCATCCCAGAGTCGTTCAGGGAAGGCGGCCAAGTTGGATCAGGTGAATGCTGATTAGTGGCAAGAAATACAAGTTTGCCAACTACACCTGCGCCCCAGTTTGGGTGCCTGGATTTTGGAACTGAGCCTTGCAGAGGCCTTGAGGGAAGGGGGCAAGCCTGAGTCCTGGCAGCTCAGAGGAACTGGATAAAACCTTATTGCACTTTGGAGTGGTTCTGGTTGGGGTGTCACAATTCCTCCTGCCCACCCGCCCCCATCTCAGTACAGTGGTACCTCTGGATGCGAACGGGATCCATTCCGGAGCCCCGTTCACATCCTGAAACGAACGCAACCCGCGCCTGTGTGTCTGTGCATGCGTGGGTTGCGATTCGCCGCTTCCGCACATGCGCACGACGTCATTTTGAGCGCATGCTCAAGTGGCGAAACCTGGAAGTAACGCGCTCTGTTACTTCCGGGTCTCCATGGAGCGCAACCCGAAAACGCTCAACCTGAAGCTACTTCAACCCGAGGTATGACTGTATTGTGTCTTGTAGGCCTTAAGCAACTCAAAATAGCCCTGAGCATCTTAGCAGAGGATGGGGTGCATATTCAACCCAGAAGGGCTTTCTGGGTGCTGGTGAGACAGGCAGCGGGCCCCCGGGGCTGGCCCCTGCAAGCCTCCTCCCCAGGCAGGCAGCTCTTTCTGCATACACAGCCACTCTGAACACCGCTCTCCGTTCTGCTCCCCTCCCAGGCCAACCTACGCGACGCCCAAAGTCCTGGAAAGGGCCGGCTTAACAATGGCAGACATCGATGTGTTTGAATTCCACGAGGCCTTTGCAGTAAGTATTTCTGGAGAGGGGAGGCTGAGAGGCCATAGGATAGCCATCGTCAAACATCTGAAGGGCTGCCGTGTACAAGACTGAACAAGCTTGCTGTCTCCAGATTCAAAGGGTGGGACATGGACCAGTGGTATCCAATGGTGGATCCTCCTTCCTTTGAGGCTTTTAAATAGAGATTGCGTGACAGGGATTCCTGCCCCTTCCGAGCCTACAGTTCTAGGGTTCTTTTTTTTTAAAAAATCATTTTTATTGATTTCCCAATAAAAAACATCCAATTAATATGTCCAATCATAATACTCCAATTAAAATGAAAAACCAAAAAAAGACCAAATTATAGTCCAAATTATAATTATTAATTTTTCGGAGCTCCCCACGGTCTGCATCTCTGAAGCATATCTTCACATCTTAGTCCTGCTTCTCCTTGTATCCATATTTTCCACATCTCGATTTTAACGCTTCTACAGTTCTAGGACTCTTATCTGCTGTTGGTGCCCCAGAGCATCATCCTTCCTCTCCCTTTTCCCTCCTAGGGGCAGATTCTAGCTAATATGAAAGCGATGGATTCAGATTGGTTTGCCCAGAATTACATGGGCAGGAAGTCTAAGGTAAGGGGCCAATGTTGGCAGTTTTGCTGTGAACGTGCGTCCTCCTCCTTTATAGCCTCTGCTTTGCCTTGCCTGCGGGTGGCGCCGTGGGTTAAACCACAGAGCCTAGGACTTGCCGATCAGAAGGTCGGTGGTTCAAATCCCCGTGATGGGCTGAGCTCTCATTGCTCTGTCCCTGCTCCTGCCAACCTAGCAGTTCGAAAGCACGTCAAAGTGCAAGTAGATCAATAGGTACCGCTCCGCTGGGAAGGTAAACAGCATTTCCGTGCGCTGTTCTGGTTCGCCAGAAGCGGCTTAGTCATGCTGGCCACGTGACCCGGAAGCTGTACGCCGGCTCCCTCGGCCAGTAAAGTGAGATGAGCACTGCAACCCCAGAGTCGGCCACGACTGGACCTAATGGTCAGGGGTCCCTTTACCTTTTACCTTTTTGCCTTGCCTGCTAAATGGAAAGGGCCTAGGGCAGAGGCAACATCATTGAAGAGTGGTTGGGGAAACCCAGCCAGATGGGTGGGGTATAAATAATAAATTATTATTATTAATATTATTGAGGAGGCGATGATTGGAGCTGGATCAGTGGCTCCCAAATCTTTCCCCAAGGACCACTTGAAAATGCACTGTGCTCAAAGCTGTGTGATTTTTAATGTAGTTTTTTTGCTTCCTTTATTTATTTCATTGTATTTCATTGTATTACGCAGTGAATTCAATGGAATTCAAAATGAGCATGCGCTTCACTGGCACCCCGTGCACCACCTGAATGAAACTGGCAGGCCACTGGTGGCCTGAAGACCACAGTTTGGGGAACCCCTGAACTCAATCCCCAGTTTTCAAGGCCAGGGCTTTCTCTCCCTTCTCACTGCCCCCACGGCTTGCCAGATCTGGGACCGTTTGCTCCTTTGGCGGTCTTGATGTGGCTGACCTGGAAGGACCCCCCTTGATCCTTCCCCACATTGGTGGTGAGTTTGGTAACTCGCACTCAGGGCCCTACATTCTCTTGCCTTCTGCTTGCAGGTCGGCGCTCCCCCTCTGGAGAAGTTCAACAACTGGGGCGGGTCGCTGTCCCTGGGACACCCCTTTGGGGCCACCGGCTGCCGCTTGGTCATGACCGCTGCCCACAGGCTGAAGAAGGAAGGAGGGCAGTACGGCCTAGTGGCCGCATGCGCCGCTGGAGGACAGGTAAGCCGAAGGAGCACCACCATGCCCTCCCAGTGGGACTGCCGCCTGCCTGCCTTGCCGTTGGCATCTTAGCCTTTGTAGGGTCTTGTGAAATAGCAGCCTTTGCTGTCCTCCTTTCCCAGAAATCCCACCCCCTTCCTCCTTCCTGCCTCTCTGTGGGAAGGGAGAGGTTTGTTCCTCCACCTGCAGGTCCCTTAATGAATAAACCCTTTTCTGTTCCTCTTCTGCCTGCAGGGCCACGCGATGATCGTGGAGCGTTACCCACAGTAACCCCATCCAGGACTGTCTTCCTCTCGCCCTTCGTGACACAGCCGTCCCGCTTCAATGCGCTAATGCCAGAATCCCTCCCTGGTCCTTCCTCGAAAGGACGCCCAATGGCCTTTGTACATATTTTCTAGTAGCAGTTGGACCCTTGGAAGTTCTGCCTAGTCCATAGAGGGGCCTTCTGCAGTTTATCTTCTGAAATACAGGACACCTCCCCCTTGTATTCTTGCATGAGACCACCTTAAAGATTTGGAGTGCTCTGACTTCCGAAAGCAGCAGTAAGTCCAGAAATGAATGGTTCGGTTTTTAAAGTTAAGCCTGTTGCCGTTTTTCAATAGGGTTTTTCGATCTGAACTGCAGTCAACTGGGATATTTAATTTTTCCCAAGGGAGGAGGGCTCAGCACGAAGGAAGTGGACTGTTAACAAAGGTGGAGCGTTTGTGTCTCCACACCTGTGCCTTAATAAATGAGAGATACAAGGTGGGGATGGCGAGTGTGTGTCTTATTCTCTCCAGTTATTTCCACAGTCCTTGAGGGGGCAGGCAGCCTGCAACAGACTCCCCACTACCAACATTACAATGGGGATTCCTCAGAGCTCAGGTCTCTTGGCTCCTGCAGGGTGAAATCTGTTTCCTTCAGCCATTGTTATACCCCACCATTCCATCCACAGGGGTTCAGCTGTTCTCTACCATCATTTAATTCTTGTAAGTGCTTACAGTGTTATTCCTTTATTTATTTATTCATTCATTCATTACATTTCTATCCCCCTATTTTTAATCCAAGGAGCTGAAGGTGGCGCACAGGGCAGGTTCCTCCCTCCTAATTTAATCCCCACAACAACTCTGCGAGGCAGTGACCAGCCCAAGGTCACCCCATGAGCTTCACAGCCCAAGTCCAACACGCTAACCACTGTACAGCACCTGCTTTTAACACCAGCTTGCTCTTAAAAGTTATTAAACTTATACACTGCCTTCCTCCATAGATCTCAGGTTCACAACGTAAAAATGCAAGATAAAAAACACAAAATATATAAGAAAAATAAGGAAAAAAAACCTGATAACTCCCCCTCCATGCACAAAACACATTTAAAAGGATATCGGATGTCAGTCACCCCAAGGCCTGGTTGAAAGAGAACATTTTCAGCTGGCACCTGAAGGTGTATAATGAAGAGGCCAGGGGAGCCTCCCAGGGCAGAGCGTTCCACAAACTGCAGAAAAGGCCTGATCCTGTGTTGTCCTTCTGAAGTCCCGCTGCTGGCATGGTGCTCATGGTTGAAGGCAAAAGTGGGTGGCAAAACTGGCTTCCCACATTTCATAAAAGGAACTTTTGCTGCTGGTTTCCAAAAGCTGCAATATGGTTTTGACTGGGCAGGGAGGAGGAGGGTGGCAAGCCGAGAGCCCTTTTCTACTGCCCAAAGCTGTGGGGCTGGAAGATGACAAGAATTTATCTTAATTTCAAAAAACACACAATACACAACCCTCTTCTGTCCTCCAAGCCAGCTTTGCTCTCTAACTTCCCACCCTACACCCAAAGCCAGGCATCTTGTTTACAATACAAAAAGGGGGCTTTGTACTGGGCCCCCAAACTTGAGGGACGACAACTATTGAGATTTGTGATTTGCAAGTTATATGTGGTGCTGTGGGTTAAACCACAGAGCCTGGGGCTTGCCGATCAGAAGGTCGGTGGTTCAAATCCCCGCAACGGGGTGAGCTCCTGTTGCTTGCTCCCTGCTCCTGCCAACCTAGCAGTTCAAAAGCACGTCAAAGTGCAACTAGATAAATAGGTACCGCTCCGGCGGGAAGGTAAACGGTGTTTCCATGCGCTGCTCTGGTTCGCCAGAAGCGGCTTAGTCCTGCTGGCCACATGACCCGGAAGCTCCCTCGGCCAGTAAAGCGAGATGAGCGCCACAACTCCAGAGTCGGTCATGACTGGACCTAATTGGCCACCCTTAACGTTTTGGTTGGCCAGAGGAGACCCCCCCCTCCACTTTCTTGCTCACCTGTGCGACTTCCAGCCTCTCAGTTGCTGAGTTTGGAGTCCAGAGTTTCGCTCTTGGTCTGTGGACCCAATTGGGAGAGACAGGAGGGTGAGTAAACCGGCCCTACCATTTTACTGTTGCCCCTGGATTCCACCTGGCAGCATCCCAGGAAGCAGTGGGGAGACCCTGCCCTGGCTCCCCTGCCTTCCCTCACCCCCCCCCCAAAGCCCAGGGGAGAGAGAAGCCCCTTCACCCAGCAGCAAGGAGCATAGCCTAAGGACCTAAGAAGAACCTGATGGCTCGGGCCATGGGGCCATCTAGTCCAGCCAAATTCCTGTAAAAAAACTAAGACTGATAGACTGCTTCTGGAGTTGGAGGTTCTGTGAGAGCATTGGAAGAATCTGCTACATCCGGCCAATGGCCCATCTAGTCACCTCCACCTTGACTACTGTAACTCGCTCTACATGGGGCTGCCCTTGAGACTGACCCAGAAACTCCAGTGGGTGCAGAATGCCGCGGCGAGACTCCTTACGGGGTCCTTGCCGCAGGATCACATTCACCCGGTGCTATACCAGCTGCACTGGCTCCCGGTGGAGTACAGGGTCAGGTTTAAGGTGCTGGTTTTAACCTTTAAAGCCCTATATGGCCTAGGACCCTCGTACCTACGGGACCGCCTCTCCTGGTATGCCCCACAGAGGACTTTACAGTCTTCAATTAAAAACACCCTGAAGATCCCGAGCCCCAGGGAGATTAGACTGGCCTTGACCAGAGCCAGGGCCTTTTCAGCCCTGGCCCCTATCTGCTGCAACGCTCTGTCACAAGAGACTAGGGCCCTGTGGGACTTGGCATCTTTCCACAGGGCCTGCAAGACAGAGCTGTTCCACCAGGCCTTTGGCCAAGGCACAGTCTGACCCCCTCTCCTTCTGTAATCCTCATAGAACTCCAACCCAATGGTTGCCATTAATTTGATTCTGAATTGATTTTAGAATGAATTGATTTTAGAATGCTGTGTTACTTTTATTGTTGTCAGCCGCTCTGAGCCTGGCTTTGGCTGGGGAGGGCGGGATATAAATAAATTATTATTATTATTATTATTATTATTATTATTATTATTATTATTATTAGCCATCGATAGCCCTGTCCTCCTCCATGAATTTGTCTCATCCTCTTTTCAAGCCATACAAGTTGGTGGCCATCCCTGTCTCCTGTGGCAGGGAGTTCCACAGTTTATTAAGTGCGTGAAGAAGCGCTTTCTTTGCTGCTAAGGTTTTTGATGGAGCTGGGCCTCTGGAAAATCTGTAGGAAAGGGTTGTGGCAAGAAGAAGCCCTTGAGGCTTCTCCAGAGGGAGAGCCGGCTTCAAGGGGCAGGTAAGCAGATTCTGGATAAATAGGAGGCCGAAGCAAAGGGCCGAAGCAAAGGATCTACGGCCTCCAAGCCTGGACGCCAGGCGAAAGGGGGAGGTGGCAGTTCATTCCCAGCGAAGCCGGTGGTGCGAAGGCAGGGAAGTGGAGGAACAGCTGGGACCTTGCTTACCTGAGCTGCAGGTGACTTGCACAGACGCTTGCAAAGCGCTCCCCTCACCTGCAAGAAATAGACAGTGACACCTGAGGCCATCGGAGTAACATGTGACAGTCCTGGCCATGAACACCCTCTGCTAGGGTGTTCTTGCAGTATGAACCAGCATCCCTTTCACCTCTCCATTTGCATGTCCTGTCCTGGGGGTGGGGGGGTCATCGGTCCAAAGCGACAGTTTCCATCACCTTTTTTGTGTTTGTAAGTTGTTTTCAAAGTTCTCACCTGCCCTGGGGAGTGAATGACCAGCCACAATGTTCTTTAAAAAGGAGCAAAATCAACTGGGTGGTGTTCAAAGCCAGCAAGCTTCCTGAAGAAACCACTTGTGGGTCACAGCCCCTGCCCCAGAGATGTAGACCAGGCATAGGCAAACTCGGCCCTCCAGATGTTTTGGGACTACAACTCTCATCATCCCTGACTACTGGTCCTGTTAGCTAGGGATGATGGGAGCTGTAGTCCCAAAACATCTGGAGGGCCGAGTTTGCCTATGCCTGATGTAGAAGAAGCTTTCCCCCCCTAAGTGCATCTCCCACCCCCATTGTGGGTCTCAGTGACCGATGCTTGGACTGGCAAAGATCCTTCTCTCCTGTGGGCGATGCAGTGAAAAGCCCCTCATACCTTTGTGCTTGGAACAGCCTCCACATCACCCCCCACTCCAGGTCTCTGAGACCCTCCTGGTTGGGAAAAAACAAAACAAAACACTGCCAATTTGGGGAGGGGGTGCTGCTTACCTTCTTGTCCATGAGGCAGCCAAAAATCAGAATGAAGACCCCCTGTAACAGAGAAGAATGTTGCTTAGTGAAGACCCTACAGCGGTCTTAAACAAAATACCGTACTTTTCGCTCCATAAGACGCGCCTAGTTTTTAGAGGAGGAAAACAAGAAAAAAAATATTCTGAATGAAACAGTGGATGTATGATTTTTGTGGTTCATGCTGTGGCCACAGACGTGTGATTTGACGGTGAGTTTGGGGTAGCCCAATGCAAAAATCCTGAGGATCCATGTGGATCCGTGCTTTGTAACTACGTTTTTGCGCCATTGCGGCCCCACGAAACAGTGGATGCGTGGTTTCTTGGGTGCAGGCTGTAGCCATGGACATGCTATGTGATCTGATGGTGAAATTGGGGTGACCCAATGTAAAATGTAAAAATCCTGAGGATCCCAATGTAAAAATCCTGAGGATCCATGGGCTTTTACCTCCCCGCTCTCAGGCAGTCTCCTTTATCTCTAGCGTCCCTTATCTCCCTCCCCGATCGCTTGCCGATCAGCTGATTCCTTTCAACACCCCCTTCCCTCTTGTTTGCCTTAGTGTCTTTTCCTTAGCTGGAGCAGTTTTCTGCTCCTCCTTTTGTTCTAATTTATCTCCTCATTTCTTTAGTCTTCCTGTCTCCTCTCCTTGCAAGTTTGCTGTCTTTACCTCCCCGCTCTCGGGCAGCCTCCTTTATTGCTAGCGTCTCTTATCTCGCTCCCCGATCGCTTGCCAATTAGCGGCTTTGTTTCAACACCCACTTCCCTCTTTAAAAAAAAAAAAAAAAAAGCATGACCATAAGACGCACAGACATTTCCCCTTACTTTTAAGGAAGAAAAAAGTGCATCTTATGGAGCGAAAAATATGGTACATCAGAGTCTGCCCTCTGGGATATTTGAAGATGCACCCACCCAAAAACAAGTCTTTCCTCATTCCTAAAAAAACTTTGACGTGAACCAGTTTTTAACTCTGTGAGTAGATCGCAGTCTCTTGGGAACTGGCTACCCCTGTCCTATCTCATCTCAGTCTCATCTTACCCAGGCCAAATTTACCCAGCTCCTTCAACTGCTCATCAGGCTTGGTTTCCAGAGACTTGACCATCTTGGTCTCCCTCCTCTGCCCACCTTCCAGCTTGTCAATATCCTTCTGAAATGGTGGGACCCAGAACTGGACACAGTATTCTAGGTGGGGGTCTGACCAAGATAGAATAGAGTGGGACTATGACTTCTCTTGATCTGGACACTGTACTCGATGTAGCCTAGAATAGCATTCTCCTTTTTTGCTGCTGCATCACACGGTTGGCTTGTGTTCAGCTTGTGGTCTACTAACACCCTGAGATTCTTATCACATGTGCTGTTGTCAAGCCAGGTGCCCCCCATCCTATATTTGTGCATCTGGTTCTTCTTGCCTAATTGCAGAACCTTGCATTTGTCCCTATTAAAATTAATTCTGTTAGTTTGGGCGCCGCAACCCCAGAATCGGCTGCGACTGGACCTAACGGTCAGGGGTCCCTTTACCTTTACCTACCAGTTACCTTGCTTCTGAGCCAACCTGTGTGGCAGCACTCTGACTCCCAGTTACACACACACACACACACACACACACACACAATTACCTTAGCCCTGCTCCACACCCACCTGGAGCGAATTGAGGATGGTAAACATGTAATGCGTGAATTGCGAGGCCTCCGAGGTCATGGTGATGACGCCCAGTCCCCACGTCAGCCCGAAGGCGGGCGTGAGTATGAGCAGGGCCTTGAAGATGCTGACCAGAGCCTTCCACTCCTCTCCCTGCGGCCCCTCGGACACCGAGGGCCTCATGAGTTTCAGCAGCACCACGAAGAGGATGAGCGCATTGGCCGACACAACGGCCAGGACGGGCACGGAAAAGGCGTAGATGGCTTTGCTGCGGGAGGAGAGCCAGCAGACGGCCTGGTGGAGGTAGCCCCCCCGGGGCAGGAAGGTGGCTACCGTGGCCACGGCGATGGCGAAGGGGCACAGGTAGCCCAGCGAGACCATGGCGGGCAGGGCGGAGCGGGTGCTCAGCTGGTGGAAGACGAAGACCAGCTGATGGAAGAGCATCAGGGCCTGGACCAGCATCCAGAAGAACATGGCCAGGTAGCAGAAGTGGGTGAAGAAGGCGGCCGCCACGCACAGCTTGCTCTCGGGGTCGGACGCCAGGCGAGAGGCGCCCAGGAACCAGAAGCTGCCCATCAGCAGAGACAGGGCGATGTTGACCAGCGTGGTGTAGCGGAAGTAAGCCACCTGGGGAACAGGAGAAGGCTGGTCAGGGTGAGAGGCGGCCAGGCAGGCCTCAGGGGGCCCTAGAATCGCAGGTTTGTAAAGTTGGGAGGGAACCCCAAAGGTCATGTAGCCCAACCCCACAACGCGGGAACCACACAGCTGAAGAATCCCTGATAGGTGGCCCTCCAACCTCAGTTTAAAAACCTCCAATGAAGGAAACTTTAATAGTGCTGTGCTGTTTTTTATTGTCTGTATTTTAATAGGTGTGTTTTTTTTATATTGTTTTAATTCTGTTAGAGTTTATAATGATTATCTTTGATATGTTTTTAGATTTTTGTAGCTAACAAGACCAGTGGTCAGGGATGATGGGAATTGTAGTCCAAAACATCTGGAGGGCCGAAGGTTGCCTATGCCTGATGCAAGTCATGGGCCCCGCCTGCTAACCTGATCCCTAAAATATCACTGGTTTGCTCCTTTCTATATATAGGGTGCCCACATTCTGCATGGACTGGTTGCAGGGCAACATGTGCAAATGGCTTGAGATACCTATGAGGTCCATAAATTACCATAGAGCATATATTCAGCACAAAAAACAGTGACAATTTGTTGTTGACAAAGGACAGCTGGACATAGAAAGGGCCCCATTACCTTCAGGAGCTTGGGGCCGCATGAAACCTAAATCCGGCCCTGCCTTTCCCCCCAACTCCAAATTTCGGAATGGCACAGCCTGTTTGTCTCTCACCTTGTTCTTCACCACTGAAGTCCAGACGAGGTAGTAGATGGCGAGGGTGGCAATGAGAGCCAGGATTGAGGCGCAGACCCCGAAGGTGCCCAGGAAGGTCAGGGCGAAGCTGTCTGGCACAGGATGGGCAGACATGAGAATGGAGAAGGAAGTCAGGTGGTGGCAGGTGCACTTGGTGGCGGTTTCAGTGCTGGAGGTCTGGCACCCCTCAGTTGACCAGCCGCCAACCTTGCCATGCAGGCTGTGGTCCCAGAACACACACTGTGCCACCCTCTCCTCCTCGTCTTCCTCCTCCTGCCCTTTGCCGGTGCCGTTCCAGTGGCCAAAGGTCATCTGCACCTCCACCTGCGAGACGCTCCCGTTGGAAGCCGTGACGGAGTTGGACATCACTAAGCTGCCCAGCCTAGCCTTGGCGCCACGGCTGCCTGGCATGATTCTGCCCAGCTTCTTCAGCACCAGGCTGGTGACGGTGACGTTCTGCCCGCAGCGCAGCAGCTCCTCCTCCTCGATGTGGACGCGGAGAGGGGGGTCCGTGTCGAAGCCCTTGTTGAAGTCCTCAAACTCAGGGCCCATCTGGGCGCTTTGGAGCTCAAGGTTGGGGAGCGTCAAGTTGTAGGGGCTGCCCGAAGGTGGCAGGAGGAGGCTGGCGAGGTTCTCGATGGACTGCAGGAGCCTGGAAGCGGCTGACGGGCTCAGGGCTTCCACCACAGACCACTCCGGCCCCGGGTCTATGTCGAGCATCGTGTTGGCAGCAGCCAGCAAATTCTGAAAGCAGAAGGAGGCATTTCCTCATTCACCTTGGTCACGGTTAGAATTGTAGAAGCGCTGGAAGGGACCCACAAGGGTCATCTAGTGCAACCCCAGAAATGCAGGCGTCGCAGCTAAACAATCCCTGGCCGATGGCCAAGTCTTGCAGTGAGAGGTGGTCAAGGAATCAGTGAGCGGACTTTCCCTGGGGTGAGGCTGGGTGCTCACTGAAAGCCTCCCTCCCTCCCTATTTCTTGGCAACAATAAGGCCAGAAACTATGCAGAACTTGTCAACAACATGCTGACTGCTTTCAGAAACCTGGGCTGCAACATGAGTGTCAAGATGCACTACTAAGTTAAGGGCTTTATATCCCCACAGTAACATATCGAACTTGGCCGAGTAGCCAATCAGCAGTCAGTACAGATATAATAATATAATAATAAGAAATAAGAAGTGTGCATGCACACGAAAGCTCATACCAAGAACTAACTTAGTTGGTCTTTAAGGTGCTACTGGAAGGAATTTTTTTTGTTTTGAATATAATAATAATTTATTACTTATACCCCGCCCATCTGGCTGAGTTTCCCCAGCCACTCTGGGCGGCTCCCAATCGAGTGTTAAAAACAATACAGCATTAAATATTAAAAACTTCCTTAAACAGGGCTGTCTTCAGATGTCTTCTAAAAATAGGATTGTTGTTTATTTCCTTGACATCTCCTGGGAGGGCGTTCCACAGGGCGGGTGCCACTACTGAGAAGGCCCTCTCTCTGGTTCCCTGTAACTTGGCTTCTTGCAATGAGGGAACCACCAGAAGGCCCTCGGAGCTGGACCTCAGTGTCCAGACAAAACGATGGGGGTAGAGACGCTCCTTCAGGTATATTGAGGCCGTTTAGGGTTTTAAAGGTCAGCACCAACACTTTGAATCGTGCTCGGAAACGTACTGGGAGCCAATGCAGATATCTCAGAACCGGTGTTATGTGGTCTCGGCGGCCGCCCCCAGTCACCAGTCTGGCTGCCGCATTCTGGATTAATTGCAGTTTCCGGGTCACCTTCAAAGGTAGCCCCACATAGAGCGCATGGCAGCAGTCCAAGCGGGAGATAACCAGAGCATGCACCTCTCTGGAGAGACAGATCCCTGAGGACAGGGGTTGCGATGCAATTGTGCTGCAGCATCCTGCACTGATTCCAGCTTCCGGATCAAGCCCAAGGATAAGCCCCCCGCCGAGTGCTTTGCAGGAATCCCACCCCAAAGTCCTTCCCTCCCAGGGTGCTGCTACTCACAGCCACAACGCTGCTCTCCAGGCGCATCTGGGCTCCCAGCGCCACCTCCGAGATGATGTCCATCGTGTCGAGCACAGCCAGGATGTCCCGGGGTTTTTTGCCCTGGATGTTCCCGGACTCGGTCTCCGCCTTCAGCCAGTCTATCATCCAAGGGACCTCCGTTTGGGGGCTGCCCAGCCCCGCCTGGAGCAGCTGCACACAAACAGAGCAGGGAGAATATTAGACCGAAGGCGGCTTCCTATGGAACTCATTGCCACTGGATGCCACAATACCCACTGGCTGTTAAAAAAATACAAGCTGGGACATGTGCAGAGACGGGCGGTCGAGAACGTAAAGGTTCTGCAAACTGAGCCGTATTGAAGGAGTTGTGGATGTTTTGCCTGGAGAAGAGGAGGCTGAAAGGAGATATTAGAGCCATCTTTAAATATCTGATGGGCTGTCATATGGAAATCATAGAATCATAGAGTTGGAAGAGACCACAAGGGTCATCGAGTCCAACCCCCTGCCAAGCAGGAAACACCATCAGAGCACTCCTGACATATGGTTGTCAAGCCTCTGCTTAAAGACCTCCAAAGAAGGAGACTCCACCACACTCCTTGGCAGCAAATTCCACTGTCAAACAGCTCTTACTGTCAGGAAGTTCTTCCTAATGTTTAGGTGGAATCTTCTTTCTTGTAGTTTGGATCCATTGCTCCGTGTCCGCTTCTCTGGAGCAGCAGAAAACAACCTTTCTCCCTCCTCTATGTGACATCCTTTTATATATTTGAACATGGCTATCATATCACCCCTTAACCTCCTATTCTCCAGGCTAAACATGCCCAGCTCCCCTAGCCGTTAATCACTTTGAGGTTAATCACTGGTTAATCACTTTGAGGTTTTATTTTTTTCGTTTCATTACAAGCTCTACTGAAAAATGTAAAAAATAATTACCAACCAAAAACTGTTGGCAAACAGGACAAATGCATATTTGGATGTTTAAAGCCTTGTATGCAGTAATAATAATAATAATAATAATAATAATAATAATAATAATAATAATAATAATATTAATATTACACAACACCCATCTGGCTGGGTTTCCCCAGCCGCTCTGGGCGGCTTGCACCATATCTAAAAAATATAATTAAAACATCAAGCATAAAAAATTTAATCATGCACATGGCATCAAAACAGACTTGGGAAATCTTTTACATTACAGATTAAGCTCACATTCTTAATATTGTTAATTAAATTTACGTCCACAGGGTGTACTCCAGTCTACAGTGTTAAAATTATTTCTCCATAGTTGCTGTTGTGACTGAGACAGAGAGGAGATTAGGGTTGATGAACGATAGAGATCAAGACCGTACAGAGTGAAACATGTCTTTCTTTGTTATTCTTGAGTTAAGCATTTAAGTGCTAGATGCCACATATCTTGGGTCCAAGTTCCCATGGGGGGGGGGCGTTTCCACCCCAGTTGGAAGCAACTATTTGTCTCACGGCTGCCATAAAAAGTAAGACCAACCCTTTAGGCTCAACATTGGGAAGCAGTATAAGGAGTCTCTATAGGAGTATATTGTATTTTAAAATGGGGTTTCAGAGTTTTTAGGGGTTTTTGAATGTCTTATGTAGATTTTTCAATTTCATTGTTCTGTATGGGACAATGACAATAAAGATATCGTATCGTATCGATATCGTTTCCCATTGATAGCAGAGCTAACATGGGAACAGGTACAAGAATTTGGCCCATAATGATGGCAGACCAAATTTATGGAATATGCAGAGATGGCGAGACTGACGGGAAAGATCAGGAACCAGGAAGATCAAGTACCGTCATACCTCGGGTTGAATGTGCTTCAGGATGAGAATTATTCGGGATTAGCTGCTTGCGCATGCGCAGATGCTCAAAGGGGCACAGTTACCCCATTCAGGACCAGGGAATCCCCCACACCCGCCCGCCCCCTGTCCCCCAAAAACAGTACTTCTGTCTTGTCAGGATTCAACCTCAATCTGTTAGCCGCCATCCATCCTCCAACAATATATATATATATAGAGAGAGAGAAGCCCAGAAGAATCCACCCGTTACCTGGGCCTCGTGCAACCCAGACAGCAGTTGATGATTTGTGCAGTTGTCTTGGACATTTTCCCAGGTCCCTCCAGGAGAGCAGGACCGCAGCATCTTTCCATCGGTCCCCTCGGGACACAGGAGCTCAGCCACCTGCCCTGCCTTCGTGGCATCCCACCTGCCTGTGGAGTTCTCACCGGGGCAGAAGCGATCTCCGGCTGTGGCACAAGAAACACACATGCACAGGCGGGAAAGGCCTTCATGGAACACGTCCAGCTCTCAAAGGAGTGCCAGAAATGCGCAGACTCTGTGTCCACCAGTTCCCCCGTCTCCCTGTTACCTTGAATCGGGCCCACAGACACTGTGGTCTGCACTGTTCCCAGGTGGTCGCTTTCAAATGTGCACTGGTAGGCGGTGTCAGCGCTGGGGCAGGAACTCAGGGCGAGGAAGTGGCAGAGCGGGTCTCCGTTGCCCCCCAGGCGAACTGCGGAGAGAGAAGGGGTCAGATGCTCAGGGCAGGGAGGGTGGGAAGAAGGAAGGGAAAGATCTGGCGGGGGGATGTAGGGGTGCAAATATCCAGAGTGTGGGGGTCAGGTGGGATTGCTATGAGGAATTATGAAATATGGAGCAAGCCATTGTGTCCACTATGAAAGCATGGCGTTGACTGGGTTTGATTCATTGTCAATAGTTTCTGATCAAATCCCACAGGCCTCTGCATCTCTGCCATTTGCTTTCTCTACACCTGACAGGCACGTATAAGCCTTCTAAAACACAGGCCAGTTGCTTCATCAGGCATCCTCTGTACATAAAGATAGTAGGTTACTCTGATGTAGTTTAATCCTTAGATAGATCTTAAGGGCCAGGAATCTTAAAAAGCAGAGACATCACTTTGCCAACAAAGGTCCGTATAGTTAAAGCCATGGTTTTCCCAGTAGTGATGTATGGAAGTGAGAGCTGGGCCATAAAGGAGGCTGATCGCCGAAGAATGGATGCATTTGAATTCTGGTGCTGGAGGAGACTCTTGAGAGTCCCATGGACTGCAAGAAGATCCAACCTCTCCATTCTGAAGGAATCAGCCCTGAGTGCTCACTGGAAGGACAGATCCTGAAGCTGAGGCTCCAAGACTTTGGCCACCTCAGGAGAAGAGAAGACTCCCTGGAAAAGACCCTGATGTTGGGAAGGATGGAGGGAACAAGGAGAAGGGGACGACAGAGGACGAGATGGTGGGACAGTGTTCTCAAGGCTACCAGGATGAGTTTGAGCAAACTGCGGGAGGCAGTGGAAGACAGGAGGGCCTGGCGTGCTCTGGTCCAGGGGGTCACGAAGAGTCGGACACGACTAAAGGACTCAACAACAACAAATGCTGGCAATCCCAAAGGGGGAAAATTTCTGCTGCGCTCAGGTACTGCTTGCTGGGCACCCGGCTGGCAACTCTGTGGGGAGGGAGTTCCACAATTTGGGGGCCACCACCGAGAAGGCCCTCATCTGGGCCACACACATTAATGCACGGACTTCCGAGGGGGGAAGAACTACCAGGAGCTCCCCCTCTGCTATCTTAACACCCTCCTTGCGAGGTTGCATCACCCCACATGCACCCACAAGACCCCCTGCGATCGGCAGAACTGTCCAGCACCACCTTAGACCTGTTTCCCACTTGCAAGAACTTGGTTGTTTAGCATGGCAGCACCTGCACCTTGGAACTCCCTGCCTCTAGAGTTCAAGCAGGGGTCTGAGAACCTCTTTGTTTCAACTAGCCTTCCCAGATGCTGAGAAAGTTGTGCATCTTAAACTGTTTTAGTTTTTTCATTTTTGTATGTTTAAAAGTATTGCATTTTTTAATTGTTTTATCCTTTTGCAAACCAGTTTGAGTTTTTGTCGTTGTTGTTTGTTTACCATCAAGCTGTGCATTGATTTTATGAAATAATAATAATAATAATAATAATAATAATAATAATAATAATTTATTTATACCCCGCCCTCCCCAGGGTGGCTAACACCAATAAAATAAAATCACAGTAAAACATAATGGGGGGGGGGGAAAGAGGGAGAGAAAAAAACCAATTTAAAATGCAGCTTAATTTAAAATGCAATTTAAATAAACAGCTGTGCAGAATGCCCATCCAGGCTGGCGGGCCTCACCAGCCGCTCCCTCCCTCCCTCGCCCACCTGGGTCTGGGGCACCTGGGTTCCAGGATGCTCTCAGCTCTCCTCCTCTGTTCCGGACGCAGCACTGCAGAGTCAGGCCCTCAGGGGAGCTGCAGTTCATGGAGAGCTGCGACCGTGTCTGGATGAGGTCCGCCGCCCCGAGGGGAACGATCACCTCCCTGGTCAGCTCATGCATGGCGTTTTCGTACAAGTAGCGGCAGATGTATTTTCCTGTAGGAGACACGTGTCAGAACTGGGAGCCAGAATCCGAGAACTGCAGAGTTGGAAGAGGGGTTCCCCAAAGGGCATCTAGTCCTACCCCAGGCAGTGCTGGCACCGCAGCTCTTGAAGTTCTCTCCTGGCATGGAACTGGGAATCACGGGCCACCCTGCGTGTGGGCAGGGTCCTCCAGGTAAGATCCTGCACATATTTAGGAACGCCAACACCCTGGCTTAGCAGATGTCAAAGAGAACAACAACTATCTGACTTTTAGAAGACATCTGAAGCAGCCCTGTTTAGGGAAGCTTTTTAATGTTTGATGTTTATCATGTTTTAATATTCTGTTGGGAGCTGCCCAGAGTGGCTGGGGAAACCCAGCCAGATGGGTGGGACATAAATAATAAATAATCATCATCATCATCAGTTGAGATTCCTGCATCGCAGGGGGCTGGACTAGATGACTCTCAGGGTCCTTCCCACCCTAAAGTTCTATGCTTTTAATACAATACAATAAATAAGATGCAGTCCTTCTGTTTCAGGTTCAACACCAGAGCCTCGCCCGCCCACCACGGGCACATGGGCGTAGCCAGGATTTATGTTGCGGGGGGCAGAAACCTCAGTTTATTGTTACAGTGGCACCTTGGTTCTCAAACAACTTGGAACCCAAACACTGCAAACCCAGAAGTAAGTGTTCCAGATTGCGAACTTTTTTTGGAAGCCGAAGGGTGCTCCTTTTTAAGTGTTACGGATCCGATTTTGAGTGCCACACTTCTGTTTTGAGTGTTACGCTGAGGTCTGTCTGTTTTTGCTATTTATTTTGCGTTTTCGTTTTTGCGGCTCTTTTGTTTGTTTTTGTGCCATTGTGGAACCCAGTTCAGCTACCAATTGATTGATTGTGTGACTGCAGTACACTGTTTATTGCTTTCATTTATGGATCAATGGTCTCGTTAGACAGTAAAATTCATGTTAAAATCGCTGTTTTAGGGGTTGTTTTTAAATGGGAATGGATTAATCCATTTTGCATTCCTTTCTATGGGAAAGCGTGCCTTGGTTTGGACACTTTGGTTTTTAGAACAGACTTCTGGAACAGATTATGTTTGAGAACCAAGGTACAGTCCACACCTCATGTTAATCTGCTTCATGTTACGTTCTTTGAGCTTACATCCCGCGGTGACCCCGAAGTACCAGAAAGGGTTACTTCTGGGTTTTGCCGCTCGCGCATGTACAGGAAGCGCAAATGACGTCACACACGCATGCACAGAAGCGGCAAATCGCAACCCGTGCGTGCGCAGACACGCGCGCTGCGGGTGCGCTTTTTCATTTTTGCGAACGGGCCTCCGGAACGGATCCTGTTCGCAACCAGAGGTACCACTGTAACCACTGTATTGATTTTTTATTGATTATGGGGGTTGGGGAGCTGCCCCTGCCCCCCCCCGGCTACCACCCATGAACAGACGCAAATTTAGACCGAAATCATTCTTCCATATGAGAGAGGGGCAGAGCGATACAGCACCAGCCCAGTCCGGGAGACGGAGGAGAGCCTCAGCTCCACCTCAGAGCCGTTCTGCAGCAGAGTCACTTGCGTCCCGTTGAAGATTTCCTTGGCTCCCCTGGGAGCTGAGCAGGTTAGACCTTCACCTCCGTGGCTCATCCTTCAGGCTGAAGGAGAGGGTCAGGTCTTGGTCAGCCCCGCCAGAGGCCACTTCCGGAGGCAGCTGCTGGCTGTGCTGCAACTGGAAGGGAACAGGATGTCAGTGTGGTGGCGGCTGTTGGAGTGTCGGACTAGGGGGGGACCGCTAGGGGCGCCTTGGAAGATAGCCGACAATACCATCTCTCCGTCTCACATGAGGTAATTAAGAAGGCTAATGATGGGAGTAAATTAGCCTCCTGAATTTCCCAGGGGATGGGAAGATACTGGCCTTGTCCGCGGTTGCCAATAAATCACCCCCAAGTTCGAAAGAAGGAGGGGGTGGGGGCACTGGGACGGAAAGCCTCAAGTGAGTTTTTGGATCTCCTGGACACTACTTCTGATTGCGATCCTAGTTGCATTGCTCAAGATAAAATAATCGGAGCAAGAGTAAATGCACATGTTTCGAGCGAGGAAAGGGTGTGTTGATTGCTAATTAAATCGACCACTGAGAAGCTGAGTGACGGGTTGGACTGAACAGGAAGACTACATCAAAAGAATCACAGCTATGTCGGTATGTTGAAATGGATCGGAAAGGGGGGGGGCTTTTCTCTTTTTCAATATGATTTACCTAACAACGCCCCCTCCCAAGAAGAACCGCCACATGATTGATAGCAAGTGAGACAGGAACAATAAACTGTGTGGAAACAAAATTATTACCAAAGGCTTTGTTTTGCGGAAGATCTGGAAAGGAAACGAAAGGCTTTTGGATGACACAGGTTCTAATTGGGAACTGCCCATTATGAGACAGACTTGGTTGCAAGATTTACAGTCAAAGGGGGAGGTGAGCCACTGTTTTGGTTATCATATTTGAATTCCACGGCTGATTTGAACTCCTCCAGAAAGGCTGATTTATGGAGCAACTGGTCTGGGAAAGTTAATGAGCAGACGCTTAGACTGTATTTCATGGGGAACTGCCGAAATGGCGCCTGCTGCTTGAATAGGACATTTGGATCAGTGTTGAAAATCCACACAGGACTATAAATAATGTTTTGCTTCAACTTGCTTTGGAAATAACTCAGAGGTTATTAAAGAAGAAAAATGATAGCAAGAAGAAGATTGGAAGATGGGACTTGTGAACATCAAAGCAGTAGAAATATGAGAGATTGGAACCCTTCTGAGCTCGACGCATGGGTACCCCCAACAAAAAATTTAAAAAAAATCGGCAAAATATTTGGACTTTATGATGCATATTGGCATAATTTGAATTAATGAGACATGTTGGATTGTTAAATGGAAATTTAATAAAAAATATTTTTTTAAAACAGAGAGAGTGTCAGACTAGGAGAGGCCCGATTTGAATCCTCCCACCGGCCAGGGAAGCTTCCATTGGGCAACACTGGGCCAGTCCCTGCCTCTCTCAGCCTAGCCCACCTCCCAGGGGTGTTGGGGGGTTAGAGGGGGAAAGAAGCATTCTGTCCCCCTCCCCTTTAATTACCATTATTAGTGGACCAGAGATTCTTAGAAGACTGGAGTAAATATATGAACTATTTGAAAAGCAACTGTAATGAACAGATTACGCTAGCAGGACTGCAAGAAGTTCTGTAAGGAGGACTATTTGAAGTATTGCAAGAAAGACTATGAGAGAACTATTAGTTAGTGGATAATTAAGAGTAACAGAGAAATTAAGAATGCAGAATAAGCGATAAGAACGGAAAAAGATCAGAGGTGGTTGATGGAAGTCTAATTACTGTATTGTAATAAGATAAGAAGTTACCGTATTTTTTGCTGTATAAGACCACACTTTTCCCTTCTAAAAAGTAAGGGGAAAATGTGTGTGCGTCTTATGGAGCGAATGCAGGCTGCACAGCTATCCCAGAAGCCAGAACAGCAAGAGGGATTGCTGCTTTCGCTGCGCCAGCGATCCCTCTAGCTGCTCTGGCTTCTGAGATTCAGAATATATTTTTTTCTTCTAGTTTTCCCTCCTCCAAAAACTACGGTTGCGTCTTGTGGTCTGGTCGGCGTCTTACTAGAACAAAAAATACGGTATGTTAAATGATTGTTGGACAATGATATGTTAAAAAAACCCAAATAACCAATGTGTGGTGTGTAGTATGAAACCTTAACCATTATGTATTAATGTATCCCGTTCTTATTAGTCCCCCTTTTTTTGCCGGCAACAACTCAAAGCCCCGCTTACTAACATAAACACAAAACAAATGAACATTAAAACCAGCCCCTTAAACAACGAAAGCAAAGAAAAAAATCATAAACCGTCGAATCCGACGGCCACCCTTATTTCCGTCTTATTCGATAAAGGATGTTTATGTACCCAACTGTATCCCACCCACGAAATATTACTCACCCAGTGGTTTACAAATGATAAAAAACAGTGCAGTGGGATTCCACCTACAAAAGTAAAAAAACAAGTTAAAAACCATTTAAAAAGTGAGACGGGGACATTGGTTAAGCACTGTGGAAGGATGGTACTCCCCCCCGTCCACACGAGTGGCCCTGGTGGAATAGAAAGGTTCTCAGCAGGCATTTAAAATCTGGCACAGAAGGTGCCTGTTGAATTCTCAGTGGCAGAGAGTTCCACCGGACCAGGCTGTTGACACCAAAGGGTCTGTTTCATGAACCTGGCTAGGTAGTGAGTGGGCAGCTGGTGCCGCTGTTTTAACAATGGTGTCCTATGCGGCAAGAGTATTGTTAGCCCAGAAATGGAAACAAGAAGAAATTCTGATGAAAGAAGAATGGCAGATGAAAATAATGGACTATGCAGAATTGGACAAAATGGCAGGAAGGATTTGAAACCTGCGGGACCAGAGATTTACAGAAGATTGGAAGAAATATATAACTATTTGAAGAGCAATTGTAACCAACGAATTACGCTAGTAGGACTACAAGAGGTTTTGTAAGGAGAAATATACGAAGTAGAAAAAGATAGAGATATTGGTTATGAGTTTTTAATGTAATAGGGAAGTAAGAAATGCATACTAAGAGATTAGATTGGAAAATTCACAGACAGGATTGATGGAAGTAAAAAAATTGAATAAGATGTAAAAGTATTGTCAGAGTCGCTTCCAGATCCTAGCTCACAGAGATCACGCTAGCCAGCGATCATTAAATAAAAGTCTTTATTGAGTTACAGTTTCCATTCTCAAGCTGCTGCGTGCAACTCTACGTCTTATGGCTAGACCGGCGAAGCTCCGTCTGAATCTCCGCCCCTGTACACCAACTTAATACCCTAGCCTTACTCCACCTTTTCCGCCTGACTGTTCTTCTCTGGGTCCCTCTGCCCCCCTGGGTCTCTTCCTTCCGGGACTCTTCTGACGCTGACCCCCGGACCCTTCTGTCTCCTTGCGCCGGGCTTTAGGACCTGGCTCCCTTTCCGGGCTGCTCACTGCGTCACCTTCCTGTGCATTTGA